AGACTGACATTCTTCTTTCCTAGGTCCTGGAATGGATTGAAGGGAAGGAGAGAAATATAAGAGCCCTGCTGTCCACAATGCACACAGTCTTATGGGCAGGGGAGACCAAGTGGAAACCCGTTAGTATGGCAGATCTTGTCACTCCAGAGCAAGTGAAGAAGGTGTACCGGCGAGCAGTGCTTGTCGTTCATCCTGACAAGGTAAGGTTTTCCTAGTTTCACATTGTTCAGAAATTGCCTCTGTTCTCCTAATTATGAAGTGTTGAATGTGGTTGCTTAATTAATTGGTGCAAACATCTTTGTAGAAAGTAGCAGTACAAAATTTTTGCCAGTTTCTGGAAGGTGAGAACTCTAACTACTCCCAGCCCCAACACTGTGCTTGGTACACGCTGCTCCAAGCAACAGAGATTCAGATCTTCACTTTTTGTCACCCTCACTTTGACTCAAAGCCATACTGGTGGTGAACAACAGTCCAGAATATCGTGCCTGCTAAAGGAGGTGGTGTGATAAAGGCATATGAAAGGACAGGAGTCTTAAAATCAAACTCCTAAAATGGAAGAATCGGGTTATCTGATTATCCAACTTGTGACTTGTGGTCTTACGGCTTATACTTGCCAACCAGGGTGCAATGTCACCATCTGGGAAGCCCTGTGGTGATGATGAGGCTTCCACTTTAAAGAAAATGTAGGCCCTGAGAGTTTCATGGCAGTGGACATGGCTTGAGAAGATGTGGGCTGCCCAGAGACTTGCAGGAATATTGCTTTTTATCAAGGAACGGTGTCAGGTGGTGGCTCCTTCCCTTCAGTGCAGGTAAAATGCATCTTGCAAAGCCTAAGTTAGATTTTTTTTCCCTTGGGACTGCAGTGCTTTGTCATACCTGGGGGGTTATGAGCTCTGAGGAGCAGAACAGCTGAAGAGCCAAGAAATTCTTAAGCTGCAAACATGGTAAGTGGCCGTCAGCAGCAGCTTATTCTTGTCAAAGAACGAGTGAAAACCATTCATGGAAAGTGAACAATAAGTGCTTGAGAATCTAGATGCTCAAATGTCAAGTTTCTGTAGTCTGATTCAGTAGATGTGATATCCCTCTTTCTGTTTTTGTTCCAGGCTACCGGGCAGCCATATGAACAATATGCAAAGATGATATTTATGGAGCTAAATGATGCCTGGTCAGAATTTGAAAACCAAGGACAAAAACCATTGTATTAGGTACTTTCTCAGTCTCCACTAGAGACCTGTGCTAGTGCTTATATAGTCTCTTGTCACAAATGTCACAGATCAACCAAACTCTGGCTGGAAATTCAGAAGTTTCAGAAAACTAAGAGCCTAATACTTATCATGAAGAACAAGAGAAAGGTTTCCTTACACTTGCATCAAGAATCCTGAGTTCAGAGGAACTCTAGCCACCTGGCTTGTCATATGAGAGCCACGGGGTTACAGTTTCTTGTAACTTTTATATTTTTCTTTGGATTCAAATGGGGCGAGAGAACACGTTCTGGGAAAAGGTGGAATTATTCTGTCTCTGGCACAGCGTAGCTGGTGAGTTTCCTACTTTTTTGTGATATGTGATATGGCAACACTTCAGCTGAGTTCAAAAACTGGTGGTGAAGCCCAGACTTCAATGTACTTTCTTCTTAGGTTTGGATCAAACTTTATCAAATTTCAGTGCTCAGATGTGGTTTAGGCACACTTCTAACAGTCACCATTTGCTGCTTAATTGCTCATATAGTATAGTATGCCTGAATAGAGACAAAGCTGAATCCTGGGTTAGATCAGTGTGGCAGCTGACTGCTGCTTTACGCATTAATACTGTACTTCACCTCACAGTCCAGCAGTGAAATATGCAGAAGAAATTCCTCAGTTATGGAGCAAGTGTGTTTTTTTTTTTTTTTTTTTTTTTTTTAAGGCAAGCAACAAGTAATTGATGTTGGTTTGTTAAACAGCCCTTCTGGAGGAATAGGGAACTGGGGGGAAGGGTGAATCCACATTTGTAAAAGTGACAAATGAGCATGTACTGCATTTCCCATGACGTTCTCATCAGTAGCTTGAAACCATCAAACAAAAGAACTATCAACAAGCTATAACTCTGCTGCCAAGTTTTAGAAACTTCCCAGGCTATAGGCAACACTTCCCCTCCTGAGGATTCAGAAGACTTTTTCCAGCCCACTTGTATCACCTCTATGCCTTTATCAGCTCCAGAGCACTTGGAAAAGGCTCTTGGCAGAATGCAACCTGTTGCAACTTCACTTTTCAGATCATGGCGTACAAGCTGTCATGCATCTGTGGACCAGGTCTGATTCATGAGGTAAATACAGTGCAAATTGATTATCCTAAAAGTTTTTATTGGACCAAAGCAATAATATCACAAGGAGATATCTCTGATGCTAAAGCTGAAGCATCTTTCCTAGTTAAAAAGCAAGTTACACTCTTCACCCCAAGTTCTGGCGTTCTCCTTTTGTAGAATAACTACAGCTAGCAGTTTATTTACCAACATGTTGTATCTGTATTTGAGCTTTGAAAGGGCAGGTATATTCAGATGACGGGCAGGAAATCATTTGTATTTACTGCTTAAGGAACAGGTTGCCATCTGATGTGAGTCTTTAAAGCTGGTGGTTTTTAAAGACAATCCACTTGTTGCACTTACATTTTCAAGTGGCAAAACTTTTACTGCAGACAGTGTGTCAAAGTACATTGCTTTCTGTATAAAAGTCATCCTTTTGTTGTATTGGTCCATTATTTACTACCATTAACTGAAAATGTGAAACCAACACATAGGTCTCCTTTTATATAAAGGACCTTAAGATAATAGTAACAAACTGGATGTTATTTATTAATGTTTTGATCCAGTATGTGCTTGTCTTATTTAAAGAGATAACTGGAATGTGAATCATGTTCCTGTGATTTGTTGGTTTATTGTTTCTCATTCACATTTGTAGATATTGTGACTTATGCCTATATAATAAAAATGATCTCATTACTACAATGTACTTTTTTAATGATGAAAACTACATTAGCTTTGTATCGAGTTTGTCATGGCACATAACTCTGGATACTCATACATTCACAAAACACAAATCCATCATTAAACTTTATCTACCAAAAGAAACCCTCCCCATTTAAGCTTTGATTACTTCCATCCCTAATGTTTTTATGGATGCATGAAAGTATTAGGACGTATGTATATCAAAATAGTTAACTAAAAAAAAAAAAATTCTTGTCATATCTGGTAGTGACAGAGGTTATCAATGTTCAGGTTTACTGTTTGACTAAATTATTGTAATTTTTGTAAATACGGTATATACTCAATGAAATTGTGACTGGTCTAAAACATTTGTACATACATTAAAAAGCTCAGATTAACATATTCAGGTATGTTTTGTGCTTGTGTGGGAAAAAAAAACACCTCTACCTACTTGCTGAATCACAGTTCAGAGTAACTTCTCTGTAAATGCTGGATAAGCAACAACAAATCCATGTACAGTAAATCAAAACTTCTTTTGTCTACAGCGCCTTACATGTATAACTAACACCTGTCCATTGCTCTGGCACAGAGTTGGGTACAACCTGTGTGGTACATATAAAGGTAACCATAAATTACTTGCTCCTGAGGAAAAATTTTTTTTTCCTAGACCTTTTATTTCCTCAAAAGCAAACAAGCTACATGAAGAAGCCAGTTCCCATTACTGCAGGCAGACTGTAAGAACAGCAAGGGCTTAATTTAGAGAAAATTTGCAGCCTTTTGTGCTTAAGAGAAAAACCCTTCAATCCAGCAGAAACAGAAGCATGTTAAGTTACCATCTTTTATGTTTTGATTTTTTTAGGCAAGTTAATTCAGGTTCATCTTTGTATGTTCATTGTAGGTCCAAAGCCATTTACATTAGCAGCAGCTGTATCATGATGTAAGCTTGTAGTGAAACTCCTAGAGCTTTTTTGCTTGTTGATGACAGCCGAAGGATCTGGTTTGCTCTTACAGGGAAAGGGTCTCTACATCATTCTCTGTCCCAAAATAAGCCTCAAAATGCCGAGTTCAATTGCTGCTCACAAACTGTGACCAGACCACAGTGTTTAAATCGTATGCCTGCTCCCATGCTAGGGGTGATGTGCCTTGGCCGGTGACACTGTCACCTCTTTAAAGCGGTCACTAAGACCCTGTGGCAATTCACACCTTGGAGTTCCAGGTGATTTTTCCCAAATTAAGACATTTTGGAAGCAACTTGTTACTTGCTATTCTTGTGTGCCTGTGTTTCAGAGAGCCACAGCCAAGCAAGTCAGCAAATGTAGCACCTAACAAAATTTTCACTCAAAGCATTTAGCTACTTCAGCCTGCTGTTTTAAAAAGGCTGCCTACTTGGCCTGGAATCATTTAAAGTTATTAACTAAATTGGGAAAAAAAATCTGTATAAGCAAAGCTATGAAATGAGAGGACGTGCTGATAGGCAGAGATGGGAGATATCAAAAGCAAACCTTCCTGGGGAAGTGTATCCAAAGGGCTGTGTACAACCTTCCTCAAAAAAGGCTGTTCTTGGGTCAAAAATGGGATCTCAAAAACATAAGGCTTGAAAAATCTGGCTCTAAAACAGCCATGCAAAAGCCATGCCCTTCTCGGTGTGGACTAGCAGAAGGGTGGGTGCTGCAGATCCTGAGAAGGTACTGTATGAGACAGGGCAGACGCCTGGGTTTGGTTTTTGGGGGTGAAAACAGGGGTTTCGGAAGCAGCAAAATAGCAGTGGCTGGGGGGCGGGGGGCTCCTGAAAATTGTATTTATGTATTGAAATGGTGCCTGTGCACACGGATATACATGTATTTACACACCTATACACCAGATATAAAACCAGACAGGTATTTCTGCGGGGGTGTGTGTGTTAAACGCCCGCCCCGAGGCCTCCCTGGAGGCGGCGAAACGCCACCCGTCGCCATGGCGACGCCGCCTCAAAGCGAGCCCCGCCCTCTTCCCGCGGGACCCGCCGGCCCCTTTAAAGGCCGCCGCTCACGTGACGCGGGAGGGGGCGGGGCTAAGCGGCCGGGAGGCGGAAGTGGCTCCGCCGCCACCTCAGCTCGGCGTCGGTGAGCGCCGCGAACATGGCGGGCATCAAAGGTACCGGCGCCATCCCGGCCCGCCGCTCTCCCCTTCCGAGGGAGCAGAGCGGCCGCCTTGGGCTGCCGCTTCCCAGGCGCCGCCTCAGCGTGAGGGAGGCGGCGGAGGGGGGGGAGCCGAGGCGGAGGCGGGGGGGGTGGTGGTGTAATAACCGGTAACCGGTGAGGCGGCTGCCGCCTCACAGCCCGCCTTGTGCCCTTACAGCTCTCGTGGCGTTGTCCTTCAGCGGAGCCATCGGGCTGACGTTCCTCATGCTGGGCTGCGCCCTGGAGTACTACGGGTGAGCGGGCTGGCTTCGTCCCCAAACCTTCCCCCCCCCCCCTTTATAGCTGTTAATTGAGGTGTTAATCGCGTTTCATTGGGCTGGTCGGCTCCAGTTGTCTCTCAGCAGTCGCCTGTTTTTAGCCTCTTGATGCACAGCAGGTCATTGAGACCAAACTATCGAATGGTTTGGGTTGGAAGGGACCTGAGGGGTCATCTATTTCTAGCGGCCTCCTTAGCCAGAACTAGTTTTCCCGTCAAAAAAAAATACCTGAAAACAGCTCTGTGCTTTCTCAGGAAGAGTGGTGCCGTCTCCCTAGAGTAATTTTCAACCTCGCACAATTCTTTCCCTTACTTCCCTGTTTCTGTAAACAACCCTCCTACCACAAGACTCTGACTGGGGTGTCCATTACACTTGAAAACCCGGGTGAAGCTAATGAGAGTCCTCACCCAGAGATGAGAGGGCGAGGGTGCGCCTTCACAGCCGGCTTGGTTAGACTCCAGGATCTCTGTAATTTGGGAGAGCTCTCGGCTCCCGTCCCACTTGGTGCATTTCCTGTTCCCGGAGTGGCGACTGTCAGTTTTGTGAGGCGGTGGTGGGAGCTGAATCAGCAGGATGATGCAAATATAAAATCAATTAATGCTTGGTTGTGTGAGAGAGTGGATCCTGCTCTACATGAGGCTATATGAGTGCTTGTGTGCATATACAGGGAAAATGAGGTCGGATTGCCCCTCTGGGTAAAAGTTTGTGGTTAAATCACGCAATCCCCTTTTTCAAACCATAAAGTAGGATTACAGTTACTGCAATTACTTTTTCTAATCAGAAGATACTTTTTATTGAAGCATCTATTTAAACTGACTGTGTATTTCCTTTTTTTCCCCCCTCCCCAGTGTATACTGGCCTCTGTTTGTCTTAATATTTTACTTCATCTGCCCCATTCCCCACTTCATTGCAAAAAGAGTAAGTGATGACAGTGATGCAGCCAGCAGTGCCTGCAGGGAATTGGCGTATTTCTTCACAACCGGAATTGTTGTTTCTGCCTTTGGATTTCCTATAATCCTTGCACGGGTTGAAGCGGTAAGTTCTGCTTGCAAACTTTTATTGTAAGGCACCAGTTACTGAGCATAATCTTTGAGTGGAATGTTGCTGTTTGTAAATCCTGTCTTTAATTTCATTATTGTGAAGTTTCTAGATTCACTCTGATTACGTTTTTTCAGTCAATGATGCTTTTTGTTCTGAACAAAGGACTTGCATTACTGAAAAGTTATTAGCTGTGGTTTTTTCCAGATTTCTTTTGGTCTAATACAGGATACTATCTCTTCCTACATCTCATGCCTCTCTGTTTTATCAGCTTTTGCACTGCTTCTTGCACTACCTTCCTTATTTTTGTCAGAATGTCTGCTTTCTCCATTTAGGATGCTGAAAACTTGGTGACTGGAGCGCGTTATCAGTTAAAAGACAAAAGGCCAAACTTCCAGAGCTACCCTTCTGATTTTCACAGCATTTCCCAAGCTCGTGCTTTGTCCCCTTAAAGTCTGAGGAAATTTTGCTAGCTTCTTTTCTCTTTTGCTTTCTGAACTGCTCTTCAGTGGTGAGATTTTTGTCACATTGTTTTGCAAGGCAAGGAACTCCTTCGTCCTATCCCTCGAACTACCCAATGACACTTTTACGTGTTGCGTTGTTTTTCCCCTTCAGTCTTTCAGTTTTGCTTAAAACTTGCATGCTTACTTTTAGTTTAATTGTAACGCACAGTTTCCCTGACACTGTGTTTTTAAGTTATGGACCTGACAGTAGGCAGACTCAGAAGTGACCACGAGGGGGAACTCTAATTCATAGCTATATGTTTTGAGGGTGGAGTACTTGTCGCTTATTTTGAGTAAAATTAATTTGGCACATCTTTAAAGGAAGCTATTTGCCTTTAAGACCATGTCCTGTTTCCCATGCTTGTTACTGCCATTTGTTTGAAAGATGATCTTTTATTTTGCTGCATATCAATTAAAGGAGAGCACTAGTCTCACCAGATTTTTTTTTTTTTTTCTACAACTTGGGTATGTTTTAGTGACTTGTATGGCAAGGTAATTATTTTGTTCTAAAACATAGTATTATTAGCCTGTCTGAATTCTTGTATTAATAATATGAGTGGTTCCTAATTGGATAATTAGTCCCATGAATTGAATTATTTATTGTTTGTCTTTTTTTAATGCTTTTAGCACCTTTCTGTAGCATTTTGTTTAGTTTATCTAATGCATATAAATAACTGGCCTGAACCTATCCTATAAGAACTGCTTTGATTGTGTCATTTCCTTGCGTTTCAGATCAAATGGGGAGCCTGTGGTCTGGTGCTGGCTGGCAATGCAGTCATTTTCCTTACTATTTTAGGCTTTTTTCTTGTGTTTGGTAGAGGAGATGACTTTAGCTGGGAACAGTGGTAGGACATCGCTCTGACTCTGGTAATATTTTACAGCATGTATCACCATATGTATACTCTCTGTGTGTATATGTGTATATATTATAACGTGTGTGTGTGCACGCTGAGGTGTATGTATGTGCATATGCATGTAGTTTTACATTATCAGATCATAACATGCTTTTTTTTAAAATGCATTTCAACCAAAGGGAAAAGGCCCTTGTGACAGCTGTCTCAATGTATTCAGTAAAAGCTGGAATAACTGTTGCAAATCTGTCCCCAAATAAGTTTACAAACCGTAGGCTGTTTTACTAATTTTTTCATTTTTTTATTCATAATATGCATTAACTTTTGTTTTAATCACGGTAGTATTATTAATACATATGATATTGGTCAGGATACCTGTTGGTGTTTTTAACCATGTAATCAAAATAGGCCAATATAAAGATTATCCTACTTGGTATTGTTCAATCTTTCTGCTCTGATTAGGGATGAATGAGTACTTGCTTTTCACTTGAGTAATTGTAATTCTACTGTTTTTTCTTGATAACATCAAACATAGGTTATGCCAACTCTTCTACTACCTAATGAAAGAAAAAGAAAATAACCCTGGTTAAAAATCCTTCCTTCCACTTACGATGTTTGTTTAAAAAATAATTGCCCTCCAAAGATACTCAGGCTTTGTCCCTATTCAGCTTAACAACTGTGGATATAATATGGGAATAATGTATTTTAATGCCTCTTTAATGCTTAGAGCTGACATTACTTCTCTTGTGAAGGTTCACAAAAGAAGAAACTGTGCTCAGGACACTTGCAATCACAATGTAGTATTCAGCTCTGTATTCTTATGTGTGAAATGCCTGAATTGCAATGAAGTGAGTGTTCTGCTGGGTAGGACTTCTTATCTCCTTGGTTCTCATTGCTTTTAAAACATACTTATTCAACTACTATTTTTTGTCTGTGAGAAAAGATTGTTATATTAAAACACTATATTTTTAAATAGCATTATCCTAGTAAACATTCACATAATCACACTTATACAAGTGAACTCTGTTACTGTTTTGACTTGCTGAATCCTGCAAATTGTGGAGGCGTGGTTTTGTAAAAATGCATTCTGGTACAACCCCAACTCTAGAAGACATTTCAATAATCTGCAAAGGGGTGAAGGAAGAGACACCGTAGTTTATTCTTTCATAGAAAAATGGACATAAAGAGGTTTCTGCTCTGTGAAGTAAGAAGCTGAATTCCTGCGTAGGGTATGTTTTACTATTGCAAGTTCTTTAGACTAGTAGATTGCAAATGAGTGTTTTATAGTTGTGTGAGTTAGTTCACAGCTGCCTGCTATCACCCTGTGTAGTTACGAGGGACATGGTGTGAGGAGGTGGTAGAATCCATCCTGCACGATGGGGCGGCATCACCAACACAGTGCTTTTTGCCCCCTGAGTTGTGTGGAACTACTCGTGCTGCTCTCCAGAACTCACTCAATACTGGTGTCCTGTGGATTTCTGTGCAGAGCAAAGGTTCAAAATTTACTGAATGTTACGTGGTTGTTCTGATACTGGGTCTTTTGTTCATGCTTAGTGCCCTAGAAGAAGGGTACGGAAATCATTCTGCAGCCCAAGTAATGTAATATCACCTAAGTAGGAATGGAATATCATGTTTCAGGAAGGTTAATTACATGTTTTAAATTTAAACTTCAGATGTGTGGAGGGTGAGCACTTCAGTAGTAAGGAACGCTGAGGAGCTGTATTTTATACTGAAGTGTGTCTAGGCTGTCATTCTTGTAAAAGAAGAATTAACCTTAAATGACAGGGTTTTTTCGGATGTTAATGCTTCATCAAAGACATAGCAGGAATATACTTGGAAAGATGCTGTTCATAAACAAGTTCTCTTCCTGAGTTTGAGTTATGTTGGATCTTACTGGTTTGTAAAGTACTACTGTGGAAATTATTTGTTCTGATTATGAACCAGGTTGTTTAGAGTAATTGTAATTTCCACGCATAAGTCTTGCTTTGATTTTTGAAGTTGCTTTTTTTCCTATGTAATGGCATTTTTCATACAAATTAGTGAAGTGAAACAGCAACAGTAATACACACTTTAAGTGCCTGGTCCTGTAAATGCCTAATGTTATTACTAACAATTCTATTTAACTCCTCTTAAAATACACATGTGCTTGCAGGGTTAGACTCTTGAGTGCTTTTACTCCTTAGAATTTATGTACCAAAGGCTGCAACAGAAGTCTGCAAAACTACTCCATTACTGATGCAATTTTGCTTTCAAGACAGTGGCATGAAAAACAGCTGAGATCAATTTTTCTTTCAATTAGAGAATCATTACTTGTAGCATCTGTTGTAGATCTGTTAGTAAATAGTGTGCTTGTGGCAAATTGGGATACAGGTGGTAAACATGACAATCTAAAACGAAAAGGAGGATTAGAAAGTGCAGTCTTGAAGAAGAGTTGCTTCTTTGACAAATTATTCTGTTGTACTGTATTTCCTTTGATATTACTGTGGTTGGTGGGTACCTCATGAAATGGCAGGTAAATGTTGAATGGAGAAAGTACTTTTTTTTTTTTCTTCTTCTTTTGAAGCAGTGATGTGCACTAATCCTTAATGTGAACTTCATGCAGTTTTCACCATGGACTTTTATTTTAAAATGTTTAACTTTAAAAAAAAAAAAATGTGTTTAACGGTGTTTAAATCATGGAAATTTTCCTTGACGTCTTTAAAAGTAAATTTTCTTGAATGAGTCTTTGATATCAAATAGTCAGGGTAAAAAATTCTTCAATGATTTTTTTATCAAGAGCTTCACTCATTCACACAAACCTGGTGCTTTGATGGCCAGTGCTGGACATACTGTCACTATCTACCAGTAGCAATTTACTGTGGTTTCTCTGAAATTGTTTTCCTAAATGGAAGTGAATACTATGTATCCAAAGTGCCTTAATTTCAATACTATGATGATTTTTGCGAATTCATATACATGGCAATATCACTATGTTTCATAATCAGATGAAAATCTGTTACTGCATTTTATAAAGCTTTCTTGTCAACTAATCATGTTTTCTGTAATGTAGAATGCAGTGCAGCTTTTGTAACTTTTGTAAACACTATTTTTATTTTCTGTGATTGCCAGGTTCTTGAGATGATGAAGTATTAAAACATGGAAATTAAAACAAATTCTGCTTCTCTTTTGAATTGTCTAATAAAACTGGCTTTTTGAATTGTCTAATAAACATATCTGATGCTTAAGTGTTTGTCTGTCTTAAATTTCAAAAGGTGACAACAGGCTCTTGTGTGAGAGGAAAGATAAAATGTATCCCGTGGTGCTTTCATAATGGTATAACGAACAAATTTCACGAGCCATGATCTAATTGCAATAGGTGGAATTCCTGTTACGGCATGGATTAGAATATATTGTAGAGGCTGTATTCAAATATGCAGGTAAATTATCATCACTTATCTATCTCTTACTTACGTGGTAAATCTGTGAGCTTTTTAAAGGCATTCAGAAAACGATGGTGTGTAAGGTAGTACTTGACCTCTCCCACCTTCCTTGCTTCAAGAGTGTCTGGAGTAAGACACATTGGCTCTGTCGGCACTGGTGGGTAGGGATGCAGGGAACATCAAAGCTCTCTTTCCGTTCTAGGTCAGTGTTCCTGTAGTTAAGTTGGTGAATATATTGAAGTGGGTGACGGATCCCACCAGTGCTTGTGAGAACGGAGCCTGCTAGGTTATTTTAATCAATTTGTGAAAGCACTCACGGTCAGAAGGCAGCTGTAGTGTCTGTGCTCTGAATAGCTGATGCTTTCTGTTTACAGCAGCTGAGCTTTGGAGAAGGTGAGTATATTTGCACCTTGAATCCGTTACCAGCTGGCTTTGCCCTGTTTTGCAAAATGAATGTAGGGGATTGCTGTTGTGTACTGCCTCGCCCAACTCAGGCTTTGTACGTAGAGTCCCTTCAGGCCCAAGGCTTGGTTCCTGAGCTCCCTTATTTAAACTGGATCTGGATTTGCTAGTATTACCTGTATGGTATAACTTTTCTTTCCTGTCCTGCCCACCCTTGTTCTTAAAACTGTTTATTTTTGTAGTTAACATAGCTGTTCCCTGTCAACATGTATGGAGCTGGAGGAAAAGAATAAAATAGGCATAAGGGGTCAGGAGCAGGGGGAGCCGGTCACAGTCTTGCACTGGTTTTGTAGTCCTTTAAGAAAGCTGGTAACCTTCCTAACTAGTTATGACCTTGGCTTTCTAAAAACTTTAATCCCATAAAATGAATGTAAGATCATTAATACCTAGGAGTTAACCAAACAAACTTGTCCTAGTAAGCCACGTGTAGATTTTTATTGCTAAACTAAAAATTATGTAAAGCTCTAAAATGATGTCTCTAACCTTGATCTCAGTTGTTAACACAGCATGACTTTTAGGATACTACATCATTTACTCTGCAGAGATTGTTTCTGATCTATGATAATGGATGAAAAGACTGTTTCATTAAGCTGGATGCACACCAGGTACTAATGACTAATTGATTTGTTTAAGTGGCCCCTGCAAATACATGACCAGTATGTACTAGAGGGCTTTACAGGGAAGTGACTCTTGATAAAATAGCTAAGGAAGCATTGACTGGTGAATCGTGATTAAATTTTAAAGATCAGTTGGACACTCTTAGAGAAACATTTTTTCCAATGACCTGTTTCTATGTTTATCCCATTTTATTGTTTTGCTTTTGTTCTTTATGTTGAGGCTTATTTCAGGTGTGTCTCTGGGATATGTTCAGATATTGGTTACAGTTGTTTAGGCCCCATGACTAGCACTTCAGCTGGAGGTACTTCACTTTTTTAATTACTACTTCCCATAGACTAGTTCTAGATTTTTAACAAATATTCTGGATGTTCTTTCTAATGGCTTATTTTAAATGGACTGGTTGATTGTTCTCCGTTATCTCTCCCATGAGGGTGATGATTCCTTGCCTACATGTGCAGATGGCTTTCTTCCTGCTGGCCCTCAACACTTGGCGGTCCTTATGGCCATCTGTGAGGCAGATACTGCTGGAGAGAGCATGGGGATTATAAAAACATACCATTTCCCCCCCCCCCCCCCCTCGAAAATCCTTAGATGATAGGAGGAAGATTGTTTTCAAAGTAAATAAAGTAATTTATGTATAATGAGCCTAATTGTGCAAGATTACACATAATATAGTCTTACTTTAGAGCCTTTGCATATAGGGAAGATATCTTCCTGTGAATCATAACACTGCTGTCTATTAAAATGCAGAATTTCAAGTATGTAGTTAGGACAGTCTTCCCATGTATTGTGATCTGAAACCCTGATCTTTAGTAGCTGTTTGCTTGCTAGCAGCTGAACTGGCACTCAGCAGTGGAAGTTGCCTGTGTTATGTTGTGTTTTTAATTGCACGTTTTTCTGGGGAAAGCTGATAATTAACTGCTCACTTCTGTGGAGTTTAAAAAAAAAAAAAAAAACCAAACCATGCACAATCCCCAAAATCATATTCAAGCCCAAGTTGCACAAAACTCAGTCAAAACCCTTAAATGGAGAAAAGAGTGCTGAGGCTCAGACAGAGCTCGAGGCAAAAAGGGATGTTGATGTCTCCTGGTAGGTCCATGAGGTCAGCTGGGGCAATTGAGGACTCTGAATTTTGGTTTTATCACCTGCTTTCAGCTTCATTTTCCAGTATACTGGCTAAGATGCTTTCATTTTCTTGGTCAATATGAATGTGACAGATGCTGCTTGGATGATTTTGTTTGTTTGAGGATTTGGGGAGAAGTTAAATGGTATTTATTGTGCTTTACAAAGCATGTGCTTGGAATAAGAGGATTGGTCATGACATTTATATGTTTTGCGTACAGTTTGTTGTGACTGATCTGGGTTTGTGATTTTGTTATTTGTTTAATTCCTGCCTAAGACTGGTATTTCACAATATAATAGGAGCCTTTGTTACTAGTCTTCCATCTTTTTTTTTTTTTTTTTTTTAAAAAAAAAAAAAGCCATTTAAACAACTTGGAAACAAAAGCTGCAATAGCTGTAACTTACAGGCTACTGCTCAAGTTCTCCCTTTTTGAAGCTGGTGGGAATTTGCTGTTGGGGCTGATGTTGGGAAAGGAGGGGTGAAAGAGGATTAATCCCGTTAGCTGCCAGAACGCTTGCTGTCTGAGGGCAATCTGTGAACGTGCTTCTGAATCACTTCTAGGCAAGAGCCTGCCCAGCTTGTCTGAGGCCCTGTTGCTTCTGGCCACGCTACACAGGATACGGGGGTGATGTTGGCTACAAAAATCCATATGCCTGTACTTCAACAGAGCACACTTGACTCCAGGAGAGGATTTTACAGCTTGTCCTTGTTTCTAGTGACATGGCTCAGTGTCACCCTGCACAGCCAATCTTTCTTTGGTATTCTGCTTTTTTACTGAGTAAATCAATGCTAGTGACTGCAGTGAGACACAAGGGTGTTTTAAACCCATAACGATAAAACAATTTTCTGCATAATAAGTTTTGAAAGAGAACTTTGCTCTTAGTTTAATTTTAAAATATGAAGAAAAGCAGAGTATTTCTCATATGCATACATAAAATAACTTTTACCTTTTGAATCAGGTAATACAAAATAATATACTTTAGGCAGTCCAGAGCATGCTATAAGATTTCATTCTTAACAAATACTTTGCTCTTTAATTAAAATCTACAGCAGAAAAGATATTAGTTTACAAGGATCTTTAATAGTTAGATATTCACTGGAAACAATTTCAAAATGCAGTCTTTCTCCGCTAGTCTCATAAGTGAGGAACATGTAAAGTTAATTAGAATTCAGCAAACATCCTCAGTTAGGATTCAGATAATCTAAATCCCTAAAGATTGATGCAGGTGTCTCTTTGCTATTCTCCTCTTTCAGAGTGGTTGTACCCCAGCATTAGTCTGTTCTCTTCATCTTTCCTTAGTCCTTTCTCTGCCCAGAGCCCAGCACTCTGAGGGAAGCACGGAACGTCCCAGCTCCAACTAGGCGGTGAGCTGCAGCTCTGTCCTGACTCCAGCCCTCAGAAGGTCCCCAGATCCTTTGCCTAATCCTACCTACAGCAGGGCCTAGGGGGTCCCCTCCCTGTTCCACGTGTGCCCTGAGCTGCCGTTCCATTAAAAACCAACCCAAAGCAACCCTCTCCCGATTGCTGGCGGTTCCAGGTTCTCCAGAATAAGTGTGAGTGAATTTTAAACTTCCACAGGCTGTAATTGCAACCAGTCCTTGCTTCCCTGCCCTGATGGGACTGAGCTATTGTCAACTCTGGGTGTCAGAAGAAGCTAATCCAGCAGCAAGTCACATATTCAAAACAACTTAACAAACACTGACTTATGGATAGTATTAACAAGAGGGAAAGAGGGGCATGCAAGTGGCAATTTAGAAAGAGCTATGTCATAACATACTGTTTGGTTCTGGATGTGAATTGATGGCTCTGACTTCCAATTTCAAATTACTTAAAACTTGTGTTAAACAGAAAGAGGCTAAAAATACTCAGTGGTCTTCTGTAAGGAGTGACTTTCTCAGATACACAAAGAAACCATTCTGAGATTAGTTTCTTTAACCAGAGAGAAACAGCTTGGGCAATTCTTCCTCTTGAGTGCTGTTGTCCTTGCCCCGTTCTCCCTCATTTGCCTTTTGGTGTCTTTGCTATTAAAGCCAGGATTTGTTGTGTAACTTGCTATAGCAACATGCATATAAAAAAAAAAAAAAACCAGTTATCTTTTTTTTTTTTTTTTGTAGCGCAACCTCATTCAAGGAAAAATTTGAGTTTGCATTTTGTAACCACAGTACTGGCTAATTTGTTTTAAAACATCTTGTCTGTCCAATGCTTGGCCTTGGAGAGCTGCACAACAGTTTGTGTTGAGGTGCTGAATGCCAACGCCTGTTGTTGTAGTCGCTTTTCTGCCAAATGCATTAATGAACCAGAGGGTTTGGGTAGAAGGACAAAAGTTCATTCCCCTCGGGATGTAATGAGGATTATCCAGAGCTGCTTTTTTAGATGTGGTAGGACTAAATAGAACAGAGATATGGATAGCTTTGAGACCAAGTCCTTATTTTCAGAGAAATTAGCACATCTCTTATAGAATGTGCTGTTTGAGTATTACGTATGAATACGTGATAGAAATTCAGCATTACTAGATAAGGCCAGTAATCACTATACCAGGATGCATTTCATTAACCTTACTCCAGTACAGCTGTCACAGCAGAAGTGTCTAGATTATTTATATCCCTGATTTGTCCCTGTGTAGAGTAAAATTATATTTGTTGAAAGTTCACCATTTATCTTCACTTAAAAGCTTAACCTCAAATCCTCTAGAAATCAGTGGAAAGCCTCCAGGTGGTTTCAGTGAGTTCTGTATGACACCCTGGCAGGAATGGTTTTACATATGTATTTCTAACATTTCCACCTCTAGGATTT